CAGTCCCGACCCCGACCCCAACCCCTATAGCGACCGGTGCCGCCCAAATGAGCTCTCCTTCCAAGATACGAAGCATGATCGGCGACGGTCTTGGATCCAGTCCCCGATTGCTCAAACTAAGCAGTTAGCTCATCGATCCGTCGCTGGAGCTCCGATTTCTCACGATGGAGGACGTGGATCCCTTGATAAAGGATATTGATGGAGGAATCGTTGCTAGAGGCGTCGGATCCGTTGGGAGTCTCAAGATCCTTCTCGGATTTGTTCGGAGAAGAGGGAGGCGGCTAGGCTGGAACGGCAGCTAGACTGGAACGACGGCTAGGTTTGGCTCTGATACCATGAAGAATGAATTAGGGTTTTTCAGATCTCTTCATTGATAGAATGGCTTGGCTTATATAGCCTTACACCCACATTTACACAAAACCCCTCTAATATTCCTTAATTATATTATCTTTTCAACACATGAAAATGAGGAGACATTAGAATAGGGCTTATTCCTAATACAATGATGACGGTTTAAGAATAACTGTTGATGGAGCTATTGTGATTTGTGACAATGACTTATAATATTTTTGAGTTTGATGGGGGAGTTTGTCACAGTAATAGGCTAGGGGAGGATGTGATCAGGTCAGGGCCTGTTGTAACAAATGAACAAAGGAATTTATCCTCCTTTATGTAATGAAGAGAAATGGAGAATTATTCTTAAATGCACATAAAAATGCCATGTGTCAAATTTCGCACAAAAATGTGCCACGTCTAATTAACTAACTAAGGTAGAAAATTTATGCCAATACCCTTCTCCCTATTTTTCTTCCACTCCGCAATGTATCAATTGTTAAAAACTTCACTGCTCTTTGATGACTGTGTCCTCTTCCCGAACCATCAAAAGCTCTACCACCCCTATCCTGCACGAAAAGTCCCACCGCCCCTCCTTGTACGATTGGGATCCTCGCCTAAGGAATAGTGTTTCCTAAGATCTCCTAATGCATCTCAACCTTTGAATTTGTGTATGAGCACAAAAACGACGAGGTCCTATGCAATGAATGGTTGAGATGCATTAGGAGCTCTTAGGAAACACTATTCCTTAGGAGAGGATCCCAATCCCTCTTTGTATAGGAGGACGCTTGAACCCGCTTATCACTACAGCGTGCTGTCTACGGTGAGCAGGATAATTTCTGTAGTTGCTCAGTTGGTGGCATAATTGAGGGTGAATTGGATCTGTGCACTGAATTTGGCATTGTGGATGTTTGCCAAAATGACTGTTCCAAATTATGATATATCCTTTGGTTAGTAATAAATAGAAGATCGTTGACTCAATATTGGATCAGATTTGGGGTCTCTTTGTGCAATAGGAGTATTATTTTTTCTGCATCAGAGGACTGTCATCTTTTCTTTTGTCTTCGTAGTCTACTGCAATTTGGAATGATGTGATGGAATGGTTGGATTTTAAAAGTTGTATTTAGAGACTTTTGCTGGAGTGGTATAAAATTCAATGGAAGAGGAAAGAATATTGCCACCAAGTTTACCACGTATGGATAAAAAGAAATGAGAGGATCCCTAATACCTTGAGTGTCTTTTATAATAATAGCACCTTGATTACATGTAGACTAAATAACGAGATTGTGATAAAACACTCGTTCTCATGTTATTGTATAGACTGAGATCGCCAAAGGAATAATAAAACAACAATTTTGCATTAAATAAATGAAAGACTAGGAAAAGTATATATTTTGGAGTAATTAAAGTCAAATTTGGTAGGATGTTTCTTTTTGACGGTGTAGTGCACTATGTACTAGATAATAACTATATAGACGAGTATATGGTCATTGATATCATTTATAGTGTACGGGTTTAATGGATCTCGATTTTTCAGATTTTCAGGCAAATAAGTTAGAGCCCCTACCCCCACACACCCCTAAACCCTATATATATTTATTTGTCTGAATCAGGCAGTTTGTAATACAGAATGGAGATTGGCATTCTCTAATGTCATTTACCGAAAAAAATGTGGTTTGATGATCATACAGTTTTGATTGAGATGGAAGGGTCGCCCCTCTCCCTCGCTATGATGTAAGTCGTTTAGGATGGAAGCAGCTACCAGGATTTAGTATTCGTGCGTTTGGCTGAGTGTTTATCTTTTATCTGATCAAAAGACTATGTTCTTGTGGTGATGATCTTGTTGTTTATCTTTTATCTGATCAAAAGACTATGTTCTTGTGGTGATGATCTTGTTCTAACCATCACATGATTAAATTAGGTACACGAGAAATGACGAATTAATTCAGGATGGTACAGTTGTTGCATGCTCCGGGGAGGGAATCAATGTGAATGATTTAACTAATGTAGAATTTGAAAATCAATGCAGAAAGAGATAAGTTTTATGACACTAAAAGTGTATATATATTTTGCCTTGATTAATGGCTTCTGAGACGTGAGGCCCATGATTATCTAATTTTACTGCGAGTAGGTTTTGTTTGTGTTAGCAGGGAAATGGATACTATTGCCATGAAAATGTTATGATGCAGCGTGGCGTGAGTTCTTTATGTCTCATTGAAACAGGATGGGAGTGTTTTGGAGTGTAGTTAGACTCATTCATGATGTTGTTTGCGAAGAAACATTAATCAACCTTTGTTGAGATGAGACAATTTCAAACTCGTAGAAACAAGTATTGGTTGCAGACAATTGACAGTGTCGAGAATAAGATTTCTTTTAGTCCTCTTGACATTCATATAGTATCATACGGATGATCGAAGATTCGCATGATGGTTTTGTACTCTGTGGTTTGGGAAGAAGAAAGAAGAATTCGGGAAAAACTGGGAATTTACTGATATTTTAAGAATTACTGTCACTTCCAAAAAAAATTTAGCCAAGCGCGTGAGATTTCCACCATTCAGGCTTGTACACTGATAGCACTGACACGTAAACCTGCACCAGCCTACCCTGCCTTTGAATCAACAACCTGAACTGCACAACCTACGCTAACCAACTCCATTTGATGGTTAATATCATTCAAATGATGGATCATTGGATGAAGATTTTGCACTATAAAACAAGGTATGCACATCACAGATATGGAGCAAGGCATCAATAGCATTGGAAAAAAGGAAGACAACATGGAAGAAAAAGGAAAAGGACCCTTATGACATGGAATCGAGGATATAAGACTACGATCAAGCTCTTGCAGATGTTACATTCAGAAATTCACTTTGTCTGATGTGAAATAAAATGCTTTTCAGTTGGTACAATAATACCATTGATACGCAAACCTGTACAGTGATAGCATTGATACGCAAACCTGCACCAGTTTTCCCTGCCTTTGCATCAACAACCTGAACTGCACAACCGTTCAGTCCCGTACACTGATACCACTGATATGCAGACCTACAACAGTTTTCCCTGCCTTGAAATCAACAACCTGAACTGCACAACCTACACTAAAAAAAATATGAATATCACATATATGGAGCGAGACATCAATAGCATTGAAAAAGAGGGAGAAAACATAAAAGAAAAAAAAAAAGGAAAAAGCCCCTTGTGACCTGGAATCGAGGATGTAAGACTGCAATCGAGCTCTTGCGGATGTCGCATTTAGAAATTCACTTCATCTGATGTGAAATGAAATGCTTTTTGGCTTGTCAAATTAGGATCCTTCAGCTTGGGATCTAATTAACACAAAGCTTGCTACGTCTTAGCTTACAACAGTTCCTTTTTGGTGAGTTATCACCAACCAGATGACTGGATTAGTATTGCATTAGTTAGAATTTTTGGATCCCCTTGTCTGGATATTGATAAGAATTAGCGAGGATAATGTTTTGAATATTAAGCTTGTTTTGGTACAATGAATCATGGTCCCTTTATATAGGGATGAGGAAAGAGCTATAAATGGTAATTACAATCAAGAAAATAAATCAAGCAAAATCTCCTAAATATATGCATTCTCTCAATAAAAGGGAGGAGATCAAGGAATGAATATTCTAGGCATATGTAGAAATATTCTAACACCCCCCTCAAGATTATGGAGGCTTGAAGAGCATCCGAAGCTTGGATACAAGGAACTGGAACCTGGCAACCACATGAGGTTTGGTGAACAAGTCGGCTGTCTGAAACTCGGAAGATATGCGCGGTAGCAGAATATGCCCTTGAATAAAGTGTTGACGAACAAAATGACAATCCACTTCAATATGCTTAGTGCGCTCATGAAAGACATCATTGTGGGCTATTTGGACGACACTTTTGTTATCACAATATAAGGGCGTGGGGTCAGGATGGTCAATACCCATATCTTGAAGCAACCAGCGAAGCCAAACAATTTCGGCAGAAGCATGAGTAAGAGCACGATATTCAGCTTCGGCACTGGAGCAGACAATGACAGTCTGTTTATTGCTTTTCCACGAGATGAGTGATTTGCCAAGGAAAATACAGTACCCGATTGTGGAACGTCGATCAAAATATCACCAGCACAGTCTGAGTCAAAGTATCCTTGTAACATAGGACGAGATATAGAAGCAAGATGCAGGCCCTGGTGCAAGGTCCCTTTGATGTAGCGTATGATACGGAGAACGACAACAAAGTGAACAGAACGGGGAGAATACATGAATTGGCTCACAATATGGACAACATGATTGATGTTAGGTCTAGTGATAGTGAGGTAGTTGAGACTTCGCACAAGTTGTCGATATAATGTGGGATTGGGTAGTAGGGTGCCATTAGAAGGGGAGAGTTTGACATTCATCTCAAGAGGAGTATCGTCGGTCTTGTTGTCAATAAGGCCCGCACGGGCGAGAATTTCAGAGGCATACTTTACTTGGGAGAGGAAATAGCCTGTAGAGGAGTGAGCAACCTCAATACCAAGGAAGTAGCGAAGCACACCCAGATCTTTCATTTCGAAACACGAACATAGATAAGCTTTGAGCCTGGATATACCATTCAGGTCATCCCTAGTGATGACCATATCGTCGACATAAAGCAGTAGAATAACAATGTCATGCTGAGAGGAGCAAGTAAACATTGCTGGGTCATGAAAGCTCTGAGAAAAATCGCGTTGCAGAATAGTTGTGGAGAATTTCTCAAACCAAACCCGAGGCGCTTGTTTGAGACCATAAAGAGCCCGTCGAAGTTTGCAAACCTGTCCAGGGGAATGAGGAAGCCAGGGGGAGGTTGCATGTAGACTTCTTCATTTAGATCGACATGAAGAAAGTCATTCTTAACATCCATCTGATGAAGAGTCCAATTGCGGATGGAGGCAACTGAGATAAGAGTGCGAACGGTGGTCATACGAGCGACCGGGGCAAAGGTTTCTTCATAACCGATTCCATACTCTTGAGTATATCCTTTTGCAACAAGACGGGCTTTGTATCTGTCAATAGACCCATCAGCCTTTGTTTTGATTTTGTAAATCTATCTGCATCCAACAACGGATTTCCAGTGGGTAAATCTGTGAGAACCCAAGTTTCTGTTTTCTGAAGAGCAGCAAGTTCCTCAGACATAGCCTTCTGCCATTGAGGATCGGCAGAAGCCTCACGATACGTGGATGTCTCATGGAGAGACAACAGGGCAGAGAGGTAGCATTCGTAATCAGAATGTTAGACTGGTGGATGTCGGTCTCGGACTGGGCACATTGAAGGGCCATCAGCGGGAGACACAGACTCATGAAAAGGCGTAGAGTTGTCAGCAAGTGGACAGATAGTCACAAGTGCAAGGGGAAAGTCAGGTTGTGGCATATGAGTGGCGACAGGATAAGTTGGAGGTGGTATCACAAGATCAGCTATAGGAGCAGTGACGGATGGCATAGGATCCGACATTAGTGGATTAGGGGACTATGGGAATGGGTCGGGAGGAAGAGGTCACATTATTTGTGAGGGGATCTTTGGACAGAGTGTAATATGGTTTATGTTCCCAGAATGTAACATGGCGGGAAATACGAAGCCGTTTGGCAATCGGGTCATAACAGGGATACCCTTTTTGTTGAATCTCATACCCCAAGAAGACACACATGATATTTTTGGGAGTGAGTTTTGTTTGTTCTCGTTTCGGGAGTAACACAAAGCAAGTGGATCCAAATACACAAAACACAGAGTAATCTGGAGTGCTCCTATATAGACGCTCGAAAGGAGATAAGCCACTAGTGACTACGGAGGGGATGTGATTAATAAGAAAGGCAAACGTGTGAATGGCTCCTCTCAGAATGCGGAAGGGAGGGGCGGGAGATAAGGAGACTACGAGCTGTTTCAACAAAGTGTCAGTGTTTTCGTTCTGCAACCCCATTTTGCTGAGAGGTGTCTGGACAAGATAGTTGGGGAAGGGTCCCTTGTGATTTTAGGAATTCAAGGAAGTGTTTGGATAAGTATTCTCTCCCGGAGTCGGATCTGAAGACTTTGATAGTTTTCGAAAATTGAGTTTTAATCATAGTAGCAAATTCGATGTATACTTTCAAAAAATCAGATCGAGAATGAAGTAAATAAGTCCAAGTGTCCTGAGAATAATCATCAATAAAGACCACATAATATTGAGCTCCACCCATAGAGACAACATGAGCTTTACCCCAGACATCAGAGTGCACAAGATCAAAAGGAGAGCAGGAAGTAGTTGTACTATTATTTAAGGTAAGAGCTGGTTGTTTGGCCAGTTTACAAGCAATACAATAGGGATCTTTGCCTGAAGTAGCTGGTCCTAACAATCCTTTATTTATCATGTATTTTAGGCAAGGAAAAGAAACATGACCTAATCTAGAATGCCAAGAGATAAAGGAGGATGAGTTGGTAATAAGAACTGTGAGAGTTGAATCGGTGGAGGATGGAATCTGTAACTTGTCTGTCACTTTTCGTCGTCCAACTCTATGGCCGGTCCCAACTTGTATCCCCGTCGAGCGGTCCTGTATAACAAAGCCAGTAGAATGAAAGATAACGATTAGCCCAAGGTCACATAATTGTCAAACAGATAAAAGTTGTATAGATAGTTGAGGAACAAGAAAAACGTCCGAGACAGATAAATCGTTGTTAGTTTTTATGGAGCTAATGTGACTAGCAGGAATCGTAGAGCCATTAGCTGTATGAATCTGTGCAGATGAGCCTATTGTCCTGGATGACTCGAAGTGTATTGGGTCAAAAGTCATGTGATTTGATGCCCAAGAATCAAGAAACCACGGAGAGGAGATACCTGATGGAGGAGAGAAGGCAGATGCAACTGTATGATGATCCTGATTGTCGGTTGAGGTGAACACGGTTGATGGCCTGGTGGATTTTTGTAGGCCGCGCATGTACCGAGATGTGGAGAAGGACAATATTTAATAATATGCCTGAATTCCTTACAGTAGTTACATTGCACTGGGTCTTTGGATGAACGAGAGGATGCTTGCTGAGGGCGTGGTGATGAATTGGTGGTGGCTAGTTTGGAAAAGGGCTGCTGTGAGCGAGGAGCCGCGATGAAGACAGAGGACATGTTCGGTGCAATGCCCTTGCGAGTTTCTTTGGTGATCAGTTCTGTCAATGCTTCCTCAACAGAAGGGAGAGGCTTGCGATGAAGCATAGAAGTTCTAATTGGCTCAAACTCTTCTCGGAGTGCCATAAGGAATTGAACAAGTCGTGTTTCCTACGAAAGGTTTCCCACAAGTTCATATCAACAGTCCACTGTGGTTCCATTAATTCAAGCTGATCCCAGTTAAGACACATGCTGGAGTGAATATCAGAAACTGGCTGACCAGACTGTTGTTGGAGAGCACGGATATCTTGTTCGAGCTTGTCCTTTTTAGCAAAGTTGGTTTGAACATAGCGTTGTGGTAGAAAGTCCCAAGCTTTCTTTGCGATGGTGCACTTTCCAAGTTGGATACTAATGGATAGGATGACAGTATTTACGATCCACGTCAAGGTTTTATTGTTGTTGATTTCTCATTCGTCAAATTTGGCATCAGTTTCAGCGGGACAAGATTCTTTGCCTGTGACATACTTCCAGAGGCCATTGCCTTTCAAAAAATTCTGAAACCGCATAGACCAATAACTATAATTATTTTCATCAAGTTTAACAGTAATAGGAATTTGAATTTCAGATGTATTCATAATGAACAATCGCAAAGGAATAAAGTCACAGAGGGTGAAGGACGAGTTGGCCTCAGCGAGGGAACTAGGGGTTTTCCTCACTTCCTCCCTCTCTCCTCCGTTTCTCCCAAACCCTAGAACTAGGGTTTTCTCCGCCTCTTCTCCTTGATCCAATGGCCCAGTCCAGCGGTCGGTTGGAGGGATCTAGGGTCTGCTAGTTGGAGGCGAGCGGGCGGCGTGAAGGCTGAGATCTTGAAAATGAGGTGGGGCGCTCGCCTTTGTGCGGAGACGAGTGGGGGGGCGGCCTCCGGTTGTGCGGGGTGCTTCCCGACGCGACGCGCTGCAAGCGCATACGAGCGGCTATAATATTGAGGCTCTCACCATATCATCGGACCGCGGGTGGCTATTTGTGGCGGCGAAGCGCCGGATCTGGGTCACGATCTGGATCTAGATCACGGCTTCGGACTGGGGCTTCGTCGGGCGGACAGCCGGGGCTTCGTCGAGCGGCAGCGGCTTCGTTAGACTTTGTCGATGGCAGGCACCGTCGGCTTCGTCGGAGGTATGTCTTGGTTTTTTTATAATGGAAACTAGGGTTTGAAGGATACCCGCTCTGATACCATGATAAGAATTAGCGAGGATAATGTTTTGAATATTAAGCTTGTTTTGGTACAATGAATCATGCTCCCTTTATATAGGGATGAGGAAAGATCTATACATGGTAATTATAATCAAGGAACAAGCAAAATCTCCTAACTATATGCAATCTCTCAATAAAAGGGAGGAGATCAAGGAATGAATATTATAGGCATATGTAGAAATATTCTAACCGATACAACTATTAATTAGTGTTGAGAGGATGAAGAGTCTGGTTAAGTTGTTCAGATCAATTAAATTGCTATTAGATCCCCAAGTCCTTATATCCTGCTACTTCTACTCTTCATGATTGAAAAAATTAATGTCTTATGAGAATTGGGGACTTAATAGTAATTTCAACGATTTGAGGGGCTTTGTTAAAGAGTGTAAATTACTCTAAACCCCCAAGAAATTCCAGCATTTTGTAGTAAACACCCAATAACTTTCAAAATCACACTAAACCCCAAAAGCTTTTGCAGAAATCCCCCAATATCTCTTGCGTAAATAAAAACAAACACCCAGTGATTTTCAAAATGCATTTATGTTGTTTTTTGTTTGAATTTGTGGGGGCTATCCGCAACAATGCAGAAACTTGTTCGGGCTTTCTACAATTTCAAAAGTTATTGGGGGTTTATTGTGATTTGAAAGCTTTTGGGGGTTTAATGAAAAATGATGAAAGTCCAAGGGAGTTTATCCTAATTTTACTCTTTTTAAGACAAATTATAGAGTTTACAAATTAGTCTCTGAAACATGATGAAACTATAAAACAGTTCTCAGAATGACCTAAAATGAAACCAAAAAGTTGTGAACTACAATTAAACCCAAAAATAGTTGCAAATAAGTCCAAAATGATTGCAATTTTCAAATAAAACCCAAACAGACTTCAAATTTACAATTCAACTCAAAACTGCAAATTGCAAATGCCCCAAGGCTGGCTCCTCGATGCTTTTCCTTTCCATTATCAATGTGAATTTATCAATTCCAAGGATAATATGCTATTTTACGAACTTGTGGAAGTTTTTGGTTAAGACGATAAATCTAGTTTGGCACTCGTGAAAACGTTTAATTAATTACTCCAATTTATCAACAGAATTCTTTGGTTTCGATCGTATCTGCATATCATCTTTATCTAGGTTCTGCTTTAGTTTTTCCCGCAGAGTTAATAGAAAACTTTAACCATTGGAGATAATATGCTAGCTTCCTTAGAAATTTTCAAGAAGGTCTATGGTTTATTGAGGAGAATATCTATAAAAAAAACTGCAGACAGAGAACAAATATCTTTTTTTTTATAAAACAGAAAACAAATATCACTTACCGAGAACAAAAAATTGCTAGTCGATTTCCTGCGCAAATCCTTATAGTTACTGACAGAAAATATTGCAGCGGAGAATATAGGAGGAGAAAAAGAGCAAAATAAATAAGGCAGGACATCCTTTTCCACCTGTAAATAGGACTGCTAGTTTAATTAAGATATAAGAATCCTATCTCAATTACAATTAAAAGATCTTGTTTACATACAAACAACTCCTAAATATACGACAACTAGGTATAATTATTTTTGTTCTTTTTTCGGGTTAGTCGCATATAGAACTCTTGTAGTACCACCCACTTGCAAATATACCCTCTACAGTTCTATTCTCGTAAACGAACCCCTGAGCGAATTCTTTTTACTCTTAAAATCACTAAAAACGTCTGAGGAGGGCCTAGATCCCGTATAGTTCTACTCGTGAGGATAGACCGCTAATTTTTTTTTAAGAGTCGTCTGAGGAGGGCCTAGATCCCGTATAGTTCTACTCGTGAGGATAGACCGCTAATTTTTTTTTAAGAGTCGGAAAAAATTCACTGAGAAGGAGCGTTAGCACTTGGGCCAATACTAAAGGGGTCTATTCATTACGAACAAACCTACAGGGATCTATTTGCAATTGTAGTATTCGCACTTCTGCTACTCGGAATCGTGTACGGGCATGTGAACTAACGACAGGAGATAGTAAATGTCGTGCCGCACGTGAACGGGCTTATTCAAAGACGCACAATGCTTTAATCCATGTAATTTGTATTTTCACCACTACAAAAACAAAAAAAAAAATAGTAAAGAGACCACTACTTTTAATCTCAATCGTTGATTACTTAATAGACGGTTATGATACAATCTAAATCTAACACTTATCATACCCACGTGTATTGCACTCATTCTTAAAAGAAAAAATCACAATCACCAACTAGATAATCAATTGTTGTGATTATGTAATGGTCCATCCACTACTTTTTAGATAATGGAGAGGATCCGAATCCTTAATCGATGACCGCAGAAAACAAGTTGAATTCAGCCGGTGTTCCCAAAACTGTGGAACCAAATCGCAAGAGGAGATTGGAGACCGATACGATAAAATACGAAATATAACCAGGAAACATTCACAACCGAATCAGAATACAATTCGACGAGCAAACTTGTATTCCTTTTTGACCCATCAGCCAATAATTCTTTTCCTCATTTATTATTTCCCCCCCTGTAGTATAATAAGAGCTTCAATCATGTACAAATATTCTCCCATTTACAGTTTACTTACATCTTCCACAATATTTCATACACACATTTCTATGTTTTGGGTGCTTCTTTCTTCATCAGGTAGGAAAAGGTACCTGAACCTGGAATCGAAAGGAATGATGTTGAAACTTCGAGCGCCGAGAAGCCTCTGCTTCTTCTGCGATGTCGAATCCCTAACAATTGTGACTTGATCAGGATAGAGATATCGACATATCCAATCAACCAAGAGGGAATCCTCTATGACGCCTCTAGCAAAACTGTGAAGTAGTTTCGGAACCAATAGCTTCCCTTTTTCACTTATACCGATGGATGCTTGGACGTAGTCTCTCATAGATTTCTCCAACTCATACCGGATGTTTTCTGCAGTGAAGATTCTTACCTACATTGTGATTAACCGAGGATAATTATTGATTCGGCAAAGGTGACAACTGTTTTGACTGATTAGTTCAGTATTGTTTCAAACTGCTGCCATTGCTTACGCGAGTGAACTCCAGAATTGGAAAGAGTAGAAAGAGCATGACTTACAAAAACAATTGGGAATAGTTTTAATTGTTCATGTGCTCGCTGTTACTTACTGCTGGAGAGGAAAACATCCCGGAGCTGAGGGCAAACACTAAAAGTGGCTCTGGGGCATCAATTGAATATAATCTGTGCTCCTCTGATATTTTAAAGGTATGAATAGCCAAAGCCAAAGCCTAAAGAGGTAATTTTACGGTTTATCTTATGAGCATCGAATATCGAAACATTAGAACCCGGAAACATGAAGGAAAATATACATACTATTTGTGGACGATGGGGTGGAGGTTTCATCTTTAGAATGACAAATTCAATGTCGGCTGGACTGAATGATTGGCCTCTTATAGTATAAGATACCTGCGTCAGTCACATAATGTCACTAAATTTCAGTTCTTACTTGAATTCTGATCTACCCTAGGAAATAGAGAAGAGAAGTCATCAATATGAACCTTTTGCATTAGAGCAAAGAACTTGATGTCATTTCTTGGAACTCCATATGCTAGGTAGGCCTGATAGATTTTGAAACAACATGAGTTTAGAAGCAATTAAGGTATAAAGATCTAAACAAATCTCAATTCCTACAGAATTTTTTTTTTGAAGTTATATCTCATGGTAAAAAATGAATCCGTGTTATACTTACATGCATTATCAATGAATTATACAAATTGATCCAAAATGCCAGCTTCTGGTCATTGTTCATAGTGGATGGATCCACTTTTGCCAGTTCCCCCAAAAGAAATCTGCAGGAAAATAAGAAGAAAATGAGGATATAGTAAAGTAAAGAAAAAATAATGAAGTACATAGCGTCTCGTTGTCGGAGATAACATTGATGTTGCAGTAAATGGAGATAAGACAGCGTGGACTATCATCATCATATCCTTAATTCCATATCAATTGGTTACTATTGAAGCATGTCATATGTTTTGAAAGCTCCCAAAAAAACTCCCAAAAATAACCACAACGAATTAACAAGAGAATCACAGTAAGTAAGAATCTAATACAAAATGTATAAGTCACAAAGCTAAGTACATAGACCATACAATATCATGGGTCAATTTATTTAGTCAATGTGGGACTAAATGCAGAGACCATACAATCTTAACTACAACATTGCTCATTGAAAAATAACCAACCTGAATTTTTTCAGAGTGTCCGCAGCATACTCAATTTGTTCCTTCCCAACAGAAATGCAAGAAACTTCATCTGCTAAACTATAACTTCCAATATTATTCCAGTTCACCTTGCCATTGACTCTATAAGGATCAAAAGAACGTGTGGGAGTTGCAAATGAAGATTGGGAGAGGTGTCCAACTGGAGAAGACGAAGAAAGCTTCGAAGAAGACACCTTCAAAGAGCCAGTTGATTTTGATAGAGATAGAAATATATTTCTCATGCATAGGACCATTTCTTCAGAAAGCCTATTTGGATGATTCCAAAGATCCTTCAGTGTCAAATTCTTCGTCGGAATCTTTGTTTCATATTGTTTAAGAGAGCGAAATTCCAGTTTTAGTGAGGGAGGTAGTTGAAGTATACCAAAGTTTGAAGCTCTCAAGGAAGATATACGCTGAATAAACATCCAAAGGCTCATTCATCAGCTAGAGAACAGGGGGAAAAAGTACACGATAGAAACAAAAAGTACCTCTTCCCACATTAAGCCAGAGCTCGAAGGAGGTGGTTCGATTGATAATGAAGGTAGACATTTTAGATGCCTAAACTGAAATTGCAAGGCAGCCAACTCTTCTTCAAGCTTAGAAACTGCAATCTCCAGTTCAGCTATGTTAGCAACGAGCTCCTGAGCCTAAAATAATTTTCCGAACCAAAAATTTCAGAAATATTACTGTTGAAACAATTCTAATAAAAGAATAAAGTACGTATCAGAATGTAACAACCAGAGGATACATCAAAAAGAAATTTTAAAGATTACCTCTTCTGGAATATTTGAAGGGTAAGTCGGTAGAGCTTCTCGGCTATGTAACACAGCATTAGCCAAAGCCATGTGCAATTCAATTTCCTTCTGAAGTTTCTTTTGCAATATCAAAACCTATAATGATTGAATTAGAATTTCGTGGCAGTCGAACTAAACATAATTTAGTACGTCTAAGAATGATATGGACTATATCCACACAGAATGTGCTGATAAAAAAGTGCACAAGCGATATGGGGCTATATCCACACATTAATGGAATGTGCTGATAATCTCTTCCTCTATTGCCAGTGAGAGGATATCCATGCACATGGAACCAGACCTTGATTAGATTTATCGAACTTCATAGTGGACTTTGATTGGACTTTTATCTTCTTTGAACCAATATCTAGTTAATGATACCATTTCAGGTGGAATACTGCACTTTGAACCAAAAGTTAACGTTGTTACTTATGAGATGTTGATTCTATGTTCCTGACTTTCCATTAAGTCCACTCTCTTGTCTTCATCTATTAGCATCTAAGATAGCTTTTAGATACACAACAAACCACTTTTTGATGCAAAAGCTTGCGCTATCACATCGTAGTACTAATTTATAAATTTTGATTGATAATTCAAGTGTAAATAGGATCTTATAAGTTCACTCAAAATTGTATCAAAAAGAAGGAGAAGTTGAAATTGCAGGAAGAATCCAGTCACTCGATGACCCACATCGACATATCGTAATAGACAGGGTAGAAGCATGACTAAAGTGCATGTGTGATCCTTGGAATAATCTTCCTTAGTGAATTAAAAATTTCTCTTGAAGAATTAAAAAGTAATGCAAAACTCTCCCTATACTTTCATAATCCGAGCAACGTACGCACCAATATAACTAGCTAGCATATACTTACTAAAAACTAGAATGTTTACACGAGTTCCATCTTCTTAATTCAAGATCAACTTTCGTCTGTAAATTATCAACATCACGTAACCGACATTTTCAGTAAGCAACCAGAGGGGAAGCCATTAAGACATGAAAGCAAAATACAACCAACTAGGTTTGATAATGGGGCCACAGGGTTCCTAATGCTGTCAGCATCTTCTGAATTAAAATCTCATGATCTTCACTCAGAGAACTAAATGCAACAAACTTAGTTAAAATGAGAACAATCAATCAAAGAGAGTGCACTTACTTCTTTCTCTAGCTTGAATCTGTAAGACCCCGACTTCTCACTCTTCTTGCTCTTAACATCCTGATAATCACACACGACAATCATAAATTAGATAAAACAAAGTTGGGAAAAAAATTTCATATTTGCTTAAATTTTGCAATCAAGACATGGGCTTTTCTACAAATTTCCAAGAGCTGGAAAATATTGGCAAGAATGAGATCAGGTAAGCAGAAAAGAGCCAGAACACAATAGTATGAATTAAAACAGAAATAAAGTAGAAACTCAAAAGAAATAAAGAAATTGAAACCAGAGTCTACACACCTCAAACACAGAAGAACTGAGAGATTTATCTCCAGAATTTGAAGAAGAGGAAGGATCTTTCCTCCCACCTCTGTGCATTGCCTTCTGAAGAGAGCCCCCCCTATTGATTCTCAAACACAAGAAGTTTGATAAAATAAATTTTAAAATTTTATTTAAAAATAATAATAATAACAGAGAGAGCTCCAAGATCTCTTACAAATTCACTGGCAGTATCACTCCGTGAGATGCAGAATAAACCTCTGCCCCAAGTGCTTCTGCCTTCAAGCACAGCATCTCTCTCTGTATATAAATATCTCTAGCTGTATCTTTCTCTGTCCGTGTACATACTAAATTGCATTGCTCCCATCCCAACAAATACCAAGAGAGAGAATTTTGAGAAACCCAGAAGAGGATTACAGTGGAGAAGTCTGTACTTGATTTTTTTTTTTTTTCTCCCCCTACTTGTTTCTTTGGGTTTTAGTATGTTCTTGATCTTGGGTTGATGAGGTAATGAAGTACAAAGTCCAAACGAGAAGAAGACAGGGGGATGATTATAATTAAATTGGTTGGGTCCTTATTGTAGTTAAATTAATATTACCAAATAAATAAAAAACAATAAAGAAAGAGACTGACAGGTAACTACACTCACAAGATTACAGAGTACAGACCTCTCTGACTCTCTGTAAGATTTGGGATTTCTGCAGATGGAGCAGCGGAGAGAGCCTTCATTCCTGGCTTTGCTAAAGCAAATGTATATTGTATTAATTAACTGGTATAATAGATTAGTTGATAATTAACCATCTTAAGGTTGATTAAGTTATTTAGTAGTTGTGACTTGTGAGGAGAGGACCACATGGCACCTTCCCTCATGCTTATAAGAAAGAAGGTAATGTAGCCGTAATTATATTAACTGCTCAGGGCCATTTGATTCTTTGTCACCATGATTTAGATCTCCAATTAGGCGGTAAAAGGAGAATATCTAATTCTTTCGATCATTATCGTACATTCTGAATTTAATAACGAGATTAGACTACGTAAAAGTTTGCTATTTGTGATAGTGGTTTTCAAAGAATAGTTTTCGAAAAACAGTGATTTTCAAGGCCATAACTAGTTTTAACTTGTGGTCTAATTTAGTCTCTTGGATTCTAAATGTACAGCAATGATTGGATGAATTGAAGGATCTCTAGTTACCACCTAAATGGAGATAATCTGAATCCCTATTGTAATTGTTTGTCACCGTAACTAATAATTACAGTTGCAATTGTAAAAAAGCCTCCAATTATAATCAAGGGTATATAAATTATATTGTAGCTTTAATTGCAATTATTTCCTAATAAAAGTCTTAAATGCAATACCCAAAATATATGCATGCAGTTACTAAAGTAGCATTATTAATGAATGGAGAAGGAAAAACTATCAATTGACCTTTGTTAAATGAATAATTGATTCATTGAATTAGTACAATATGACTATTTGATGAATTTTTTTTTTTTTTTCCTTTTCAGTAGAAACACTAGAGGATATTCTTTGGCACATCCATTATTATTAAGAAAAATAAAGAGAGAGACATTATTCCAAGTAATGATATGATGCAATTAATGTAGGAGTACCTCATGCACCTACTGATCTTTAACAATTATTCGGCCGTGCACCACGTGGACCTCAATTTCAGCACACAACTAGTTTCATTATACCGGCACACGGACGCTTTTGGTATAAAAATGTGTAGAAAAGTAAAGCGGATTATGGTCATATATGCAAGAATAATTTCTACTTGTAGAAATTAATCGCAGGCCAAGCGATTGGAATTAGACCACTCTTAAATGTGATTTGTAGATAGTGATTACCTTCAATTATCACTTAGTTAAATAGAAAGGATTTTGGTCCTCTCTAATTATTACTTAATATAGTGTTGATTTAGGTGTAAAAATTTATAAGCGTGTCCTTGAAACTCTTGCCTAAGATTACTTTGGGGGAGTTTTGTACGCGAATCGAGAAAGTGTTTGTCCTTCCAAACTTAATGCTCTATATACTTCTAAGGTGATGTAGAGCATGCTGAGGATACATTCATGACGAACAAAAAATCCAAACGGGGAATATAGAGAAAATTGACTATTGTATCTCCTAAATCGTGCATTAGAATTGAACGAATTGTGAAATTCCCTTCAGATTGAGAGATATCCGACTTTTCATCAATTTTTTTACTTTGGGTTATATTTTAGGAGTTTGTTTTGATTAAGAAATAAATGCAGTTTGATTCCAATTTGTTTGATTTGTTTCTTCAATCATATGCAGTCTTTTAGGATAGTTTTGTTATTTTTATTTTTGATAAAATTCAGGTCTAAGAGTCTATTTTATCTATTTAAGTAGAGATTTATAAGCCTTCAAGCATAACTTTTATTAATAAAAATTATTTTTTATATTACTTCATGGGTTCAATGTTGTTTCTTTTCAAAGATTGATATTTGTAGATCCAATAAAACACCCCTTGATGTATTCCAAGATTTATTATTTTTCTATTGACAAGGCTAGATGTAGGATGACAACCGTTAGCTGATAATTGATTGGTTGTATTGGTAGATGCACATATTTATAGTTTGCATTTGAAGATAAATTACATCTACTCTCTAATCAAATTAATAAAAAATTAATAAGATAGTGATTTCTTTAAAAAAAAAATTCTTGATAGTACAGAGAATTCAAATCGTAGCCCTCTATTGAAGAGAACAATTGCCTTAATTTATTGTTGAAAAATGCCTTAGGGACCCAAAAACATGTGACCCTACATGGGATAGGTAAGGTGTCGGTTCTCTGTCTCATGATACACTGTTCATAAACAGTGCATCACCCTTTATTGTTTACTCATCCGCTGACACATGCGTGTCACTGTCACATGGCAATGAGTACCTCTTTGCAAGCTAAGGCAAGAAAAAAGAGGAACTATTGGATTTCCTTCAAAAATAGAAAAAGATAAAAGGAGTTATTTTTGCTTGTTTTCCGCAATTTCTCAGAAAGGAGGACGAATACGATTCACGTGATTTCCAAATTTATAAAGAAAAAAAACACGGGTAAAGAAACTATATTTCATTGACAAACAAAATTCAAAAGAAAAGGTCAAACGAGTTAGTTAAATTTGTTTGATCTTTTACATCCAAATTTACCAACTCCTTGTTCAGTATATCATAGTTGACTTGCATATTGGCATAATGATTGACCAAATCTTAGTTGCTAACTACTGGTGGAGCACCATATAATTCAAAATATTCAGAAGATAACCTTCTTTATTTTCTCTACAAAAGAACTTATATAGTAGTTTAAAATAGAATAATATTCTAACACGGCAACATCAACAAAGTACTATCTTTATGATATCATCTTTTTTTGAGTGATGCGTATATTATTTTAATTATTTCTCGTCTATACATCATAGATTAATAAAATTCGGATTTCTTCTATAATTTTTTCATTAGAAACTCCAACGTTTGTTAAAGTCTCTCTATCTATTAAATTACAACTCTAAAGTTTATAGTAAAAGTTAACGATTATATTTTTATATTTTTAACAAATATGTTCACCAAATCAAGCATTAATTTGACTGTTTTACACATAAGCCTTATTAGATCTGTAAGGAGTCCGTCCAAATGTATGGCTGGCTTTGGTTCTCACTTATATCCATGTCAACGGTGAATGACGGCAAGGCCCTCTCTTCATCTTCATGGATATTTGTAAGAAGAAGGTCCTACATCCCTAGTAAGAGAAACTATTTTTTCTATCCACTAATCTTAATGGATACACTTCGTATCCTACTTTTGTAAACATACTTTTGTTTTTTAATGAACAGGGAATATCCCTTGTTTTTCTCTCAAAAAAAAAGATCCGTAAGGAGTCCGCATCCATTAGTTGAATGTGGTATTAAGCATAAACGATGATTATTAGTCCAAAACTTCCACAAATAGTATTTGATGTATTATTTAGTTAGAATGAGACAAGAAGCCTTACTTTTTTTGTCGAACTCTTTTTGAAATAAGGCCAAGAACCTTTCTATCTAATTATTTTCGAAAAGTCCAAGCTTAATCATGAAAAGAAGAATACAAGGGGAAGAGTTCATTGTTCAATCTCACATGGCAAGTTGGGGATCAGCAAGGCCAAAAGGTAGTAAATACTATCAAAAAAGTAAAAATTATGTTGATAATAATATATGAGTATATATAAAGGGATGATAATAAATCTGTTTTTTAGATTAACCCCTTAGAGTAAAAAGGTTATAAAAAAATTTATTCAGGAAGGTCCCGTTTGGCAAAGTATTAAGGAAGATGGGTTAAAGAGAATGATTAATGTACTTAGCTCATTCGATAATCTGGGACTAAATTATTAACCCGTTAAATAAGTTTTATTTTAGCCCTTGTAATCAGTTTTAGTGTTTGGGAATAACAATCATTTTGACTATTTTCTTTATAATTAGAATGGTTAACTCTTAATCATTCTAAATAGGAGTATTAGAACTCATTTTAATCCCTCTTGAGGGGTTAGCTTAACCCTTTTATATTTTTTATGTTTGGCAAATTACGAATGGTTAACTCACTTTAACTCTTGTATAGATTTTTTGTGTTTGACGGGTTAAGAAGGGGTTAAGTCTCCTTAACCCCTCACTTAACCCTTTGTCAAACGGTACCTTTAATGTAGTATCCAACTATTTTGAAGTTTGGGGTAAGAAGTAGTACAGAGCATCTCTCAGCAACTAATTTTTTTTTTCTTTCTTTCCTGCAGCCTTTCATTATCGGACATAAACAACTAGAAAATTATTTTTCTACATATAAGTTTCATCGAGAAATTAGTATTAAGAGTGAACCCTAGTTGTACGTCTTGGTTGGTCGAGTTCAAGATTGCCCATCTTGAACACAGAGGATGAGGGGTCCTAACAAAACCCCCAGCCACGCTGAATAACTACATATTACATCAAGTTCCACTCTCATGTTGACTCGAGATGTTAAATTAAATTTGTGCTTTTTATGTGGACATGAAAGCTCTCCGAAGTATCATTCAATTTATACGCTAAAATTTACCGCTCTCTTTTGAATACCAAAAAAGGATAATCAAAAATTGTGAATCATAAAGCTTGTCACAGACGGTAGAAGGATACGCCCACTGTGGCTGTAAACTTGTCTGCGTACTTGATATAATATCGGAAACAAGTTATACGTACATAACTTTAATGCTAAAGTATATATCATTAAACATTGGGTAATTAATTAATTGCACTTGGATCCCTTGTAGTTGTATTATCATGATTGAATGAGTTAGTTGGTTATAACTTCCCCATCTCTATCGGCGTTCAACACGCATCATTGGTGAGCATTTTCAAGTTGTTATGGTAAGGAGGAGTAAATGAATGGTTGGATAATGACAAGGGATGAAGGGGGATTTGATAGATTCATGATCCTGTGCTGCTGGATTTGGAACTCCCCTACCTAAAATCAATAGCGAATTAAGCGATCAATTTTATTTTTAGAGCTAAGCTCATAGCAGTGTAAGTACTAATA